GCTGCCCTTAGAACATAATTTCTAAGAACTCACTCTATAGTATATTCTTTTTATAATTAAAAAATAAAGCCATTTCGGGGCTGGAGAGATGGCTCAGCGGTTAAGAACACTGGTTGTTCTTGCGGAAGACATCGGGTTTGAACGCTAGCACCCACAAAGCAGCTAACAACTGTCTGTAACTCCAGTCCCAGAGGCTCTGACAGCCTCTTCTGACCTCCGCAGGCATTGAACAACACAGGTGCACTTACCTACATGCAGGCAATACACGAATACACGTAAAATTAAAATAATAAAAAATTTTTTAAAAAAAGTGAAAAAAAAAAAAAAGCCATTTCAACTGTTTCTACCTACACTATAGGGAGGAAAGAAAAAGAAAACCCAGACAATGCTCTAGCTCTAGGGCTCTGAGCTGGGCTGGAAGAAGTCATGAGTCCCTCTTCAACTCTTGATTTCCGGTTTATTTGCGTCCACTGCCCGACCCTCACTTATACACACCTGGGCTCCTTCAGCAATGGCCTCTGTAGTCCAGCCTTGGGCAGGCACAAACTCCAGGGCTGCCGTCAGGATTCGGTGCTGTAGCTGCTCCTCACTCTCATAGTCCTCCTCCTCCTCCCCACTCTGGTCTGTGTACCTGAGGCACAGGGACAGAGCACAGCACACTTTACATCACTGTCTATAGCATGGCAGGCAGGACTGACCCAACCAGAAACAGGTCCCGGGTCTCCTCGATGCACATACTAAGGGGAGCTTTATTTCTGCATCAGCATGGACATTTTAATGCCAACAGGGTGCAAATCCTCTGATCCTTCTCCTCCCAGTCAGAGAAGAGCTCTAGGGATGTGAGGTCTTGCACAGCCTAGGCTTCTACTTACAGTCCTTACATGGGTGTGTCCAACCTGTGGCTCATACACTGCATGTGTCTCAGACCAGCTATGAATATGCAGATGTGAAGGTCATATCGCAATGTCATAAAGTTGGACACCCTGCTAGCATAGCATGCTTAGAATTTTTTTATAAAATGTCTATAGCCGACTGTAACTCCAAGAGAGCAGGAGCAGTGGTTGTTTTATGCACAGGTATAAATCCTCAAAAATATACTTGTTGAATTGAAATGAAAAGTATTTTAGCCAGGTGTGGTGGTATATGCTTGTAATCTTAGCACATGGGAGGCTGAGACAGGAAGTTCAGGAGTTCAAGGCCAGTCTCAACAAAACAACATGAAACAAAACAAGACTATAATTAAGAAACCAGAAAAATTAGCTGGGCATGCTGCCACACGCCTTTAATTGCAGCACTAAGAGGCTGAACTATGAGTTCAGCCTGGTTTCCATAGCAAATCCAGGCCAGCTGTGGCTACAGGGACACCCAGTCTCAAAAAGACCAAAACAAACAAATAAACAAACAAAAACTCAGAAAAACTGAAGAACACTCTAATTTTACACTGAGGAAAGTTGAATTTCCAGTGGCAGATTGAATAAGAAAAAATAAGTCCAGTGGAAATGGAAATTATCATCACCTTGTAGAAGGCAAGTTTGCCCGACATGGGCAGCAATACTTTAAATGTACACATCTTCCTTTTGCCTCAGTGCTCCCAACATCTCTGTAGTCCAGGCTGGCCTTGAACTGTGATCCTCCTCCATCAGAATCCTGAGTAGCTGGGATCACAGGCCTGTACAAGGCTTGACTTCAGTGTTCCCACTTGTAAGGAGAGACTCACACACTTTATCATATTATCTCTCCTGTCAAAAGAGGAAATCTAGTCACCAGTAAGACAGGGTAAATACATTTTGGTCCATTCATTGCCAGAATATTATACTACTACTAAATGATATAAACTGTGAAATCAGTTATATCAAGAATGTTGAGTCAGGTGTGGTAGCATACACCTTTAATCCCAGCACTCCTGGGACAGAGGCAGAAGCAGGAGGAATCTCTGAGATCAAGGCCAACCTGGTCTATATAGTGAGTTCCGGGCCAGCTTGGGTTACAGGGAAACCCTGTCTCATAAGACTAAAAAAAAAAAAAGATTGCTGAATTGGATACGGCACATAATCCTTGCAACTGGATTGCTGAGAGTTGAAGGCCTGCCTGAGCTACAAAGTGAGATCTTGTCTCAAAAAACAAACAAACAACCCTACCTTACAGAAATATGAAAAGGCAAAAATGTCAGCAGTTATCTGTGTGTGAGTTCAGGTATTTTCTGCAATGTTTAAATTTTCTAATATGTATAGGTATCATTTTTAGCCATAGAAATGTCTGGAAGTAGCTGGGCATGGTGGTGCACGCCTTCAATCTCAGCACTCAGGAGGAAGAGGCAGGCGGATCTCCGGGAGTTCAAGTCCAGCCTGGTCTACATAGAGAATTCTAGGCCAGCTGGGGCTACAGGAAGACCCTGTCTCAAAAAAGACGGAAAAAAAAAAAAAAAAAAAGACTAAAAGTAGCCAAGTGTGGTAGATCATGCTTGTTTTGGGGGGTGGGTTTTGAGACAAGGTCTCCCTGTAACCCCAGCTGGCCTGGAACTCTCTTTGTAGACCAAGCTGGCTTTGATCTTCCAGAGAATACCTGCCTCTGCCTCTGCTTCCTGAGTGCTGGGATTAAAGGCATGTGTCACCATGACTGGCTGACTCATGCTTACAATTCCAGTGCTTGGGAAGCTGAGGCAGAAGGACAGCCAAGACTTTAAGACAAGTCTGGGTTAAAGGTATGGGGTACATAGCAAGTATCAGGTCAGTAAGAACTACATAGCCAAGACCCTGTCCAAAAGAAGGGAAAGGGAAGGGAGGGGAGGGAGGGAGAGAACGAGACAGACAGATAACTGAAGGTGAGAAAGGATGGACAAGAAAGTGGCTAGAAATGGGCAGATCTGGCCTTTGGTACCTACCTGGGGGGTGGCCGAGGTGACTCGGAACCAGGTTTTTCTGCCCCATGTGTCTCAGAATGCTGCTGAGAAAAAGAGGGGGGAGGCTGTTTCTGTTCTTCTGAAGACCTGAACCCGACAGTTGTATGGAAGGCACACTGTACCAGGGGTGGCTGGCAACGAGACACTGAAATAGAAACCAGGCTGTCAGGGACATTCACCACAGAAGATGCTCTGAGCCCCAAAGAGGAACTATAAGGTAGAGATGCCCCTACAACCACTTATCCAAAGGTTGGGTCCCTCACAGAAACCTCCAAGCATGTGATCGGGCAACAGAAGACTTGACTTCTCGGCTCCCTTCCACCATTTGTTCGTTATGTGGTACTGTGAACAGCATTTCCCTTAATGGCAGATTTCTGGTTTTGTTGTTGATTTTTGAGACAGGGTCTCCCTATAGCCCCAATTGGCCTGGAACTTACTATGTAGACCAGGTTGGCTTCAATCTCACAGAGATCTGCCTGCCTCTGCCTCCTGAGTGCTGGTATCAAAGGTGTGTGCCTCACACCCAGCCTACTGTGCAGATTTTTAAAAATCTTATTTTTATGTGTGTGTATTACCTGCATGTAGGTAAGTGCACCTGTGTCATGCAATGCCCACAGATGACAGAAGAGGCTGTTAGATCCCCTAGAACTGGAGTTATACACAGTTGTGAGCTGCCATGTGGGTGCTGAGATTTTGAACCTGGGTCTTCTGCAAGAACAGCCAGTGTTCTTAACCTCTGAGCCATCTCTCCAACCCCTAATGTGAAGATTTTTTAAAGTTTTTTGTTGTTGTTTTTTATTGATTGTTTTTTGACAGGATCTCCCAAGTCACAGCCTGTCTGCTAGTCACGATGTGAACCAGGGTGGCCTCAATCTCACAGAGATCCACCTGCCTCTGCCTCCCAAGGGCTGGGGTTAAAGGTGCATGCCACCATGCCTGGCATATTTATTTTTACTTTATGTGTATGACTGTTTTGTCTGCATGTTGTAGAGTACCACATGCATGCAATGCCTCAGAAGAGGACATCAAATCCCCAGGAACTGGAGTTACAGGTGGTTGTGGGCCACCTGACATGGGTGCTGGGAATCAAACTTGGGTCCTCTCCAATAGTAGGTGCTCTTAAACACTGTAGCGTCTCTTGGTATACTTTTAAAAGATCAGTGTAGGCAACTCTCTCTTGAGGAGTCTGTACCAAAACTTGATTATGGTTTACTTTCTGTGACTAAGAAGCCCATACCTATGCTCTTGGGTCTCTCTGTATTCTGAGCACTCCCCCCCCCTTAACCCTCATGCTTAAACATATATTAAAATATTGTTATCAAACCTTAACTCTGCTACCAAAAGCTAAATCAAAAGATCAGCCCATATTATTATTAGTTTGGGTTTCAAAAAACATTTTTTTTTTTGGACAGGGTCTCCCCAGCCTGCCTGGAACTATGTAGATCAAGCTGACCTCCTCCTCATGTTCTCAGTAGAGATCTGCCTGCCTCCACCTCCTGAGTGTTGGGTGCTAGGATCAAAGGCAAGCGCCACTACACCTGGTGAAAGCCTATTTAGAGACTGCATTACTTTGGGTCTTTCTTTTTTTTGGTCTTTTTGAAGCAGGGTTTCCCTGTAGCCCCAGCTGTCCTGGAACTCACTATGTAGACCAGGCTGGCCTTGAACTCACAGAGATCCGCCTGCCTCTGCCTCCCAAGTGCTGGGACTACAAGTGTGCGCCACCACGCCCGGCTTACTTTGGGTCTTTCTATGTTGTCCAGACTGCTTCAAATCTGGAAGGCTGAGGCAAGACTACACAGCAAGTTCAAAGCCAGCTCCAGCAACTGGTGAGATCATGCCCGTGCCAAAAAAAAGAAAGAAAGAAAAGAGAAGGCTGGGTGTGGTGGCACACGCCTTTAATCCCAGCACTTGGGAGGCAGAGGCAGGAGGATCTTTGTGAGTTCCAGGCCAGCTTGGTCTACATAGAGTTCCAGGACAGCTGGGGCTACAAGCCCCTGGCTCAAAAAGACAAAAAAAAAAAAAAAAAAAAAAAAAGGGCAGGCATAGTGGCACACAAGAGGCCTAGTTGACACATAGTTCCAGGCTAGTCAGGGTTACATAGGGCAACCTTGTCTCAAAAAAATTGTTTTGAAAATAATAAAAAGGGTCTGTGATAGAGTGTTTTGTTGATGGGTATTTGGCTGTTTCAGGATTCTGACGTTGTAAAGATGCCAGGAGTATACGTGAATTTTTTGTAGATGTGCCCTACTTTTTGTAAATACTTGAGTAGATTTTTTCGGTAATGAGGCATTATTTTTACTAAACTATATTTAGTCTGGAATTGTAGTTAAAAATGACAGGCACTCATTGAAAAAGTCTAAGATAACAATGATGTGGAAATTCATAACAGCACGTATAAAAACACCAGTATCTTGTATATGAAGCAAATACAAAATTTCAAAGCCAGGTAATGGGGAAACCAAAGTATGACTGTAGAATCTTTGCAGCTCATGAAAAAAATTTAGGTGAAATACAAGGGAATTTCATTAGTCTCATATTTATGTTAATTTGTCTGTGTAGAATTATTTTCTATTTGTGGACGGTGATTTTTGCTTTTCCACTTTATGACATCGTACAAAATTTTCTCTTTAAGAAAATATCTATTTTTAGGGTAATCAGATGTATAAATAAAAATACTGAGCCTATGGCAGCAGCGACTTAGCGAGGTGGTGGGGAAATGACTGACTGCGGGGAAAGAACGACTGGACGCTGTGTGCCGCCGGTTCCATCTGTCCCTCCAGCGATCCTGGCCCAGCGCCCAGTACATGGGGTGGAGAACGGTTCTGCGACTGCTAGTTCTGCAACAGATGAGCTCAGTGACCTTGGGCAAACCCAGCGTTCTCTGGGGGCGCCGTTACTGCCGGGAGTCCGGGCTGACGGGCCTGCCCCACTGCTCTCGCCTGGAGACCCACGCCCGCTAAGCGCTCTTCCCAGCGGCCGGGCGCCGGTGCCCTTCACCTTCACCTTGCGCTCTCCCACCACAGCCCCTAATGCCCCACGCCCAGCTCGGGCCTGCCTCGTGCCTCCTTCCCCACTCCTCTCAGCTTCCCAACTCGGCCACCCCCTCACCAGGCAGGCACCGCTGCTGCAGGAGCCTCCAGCCCGCCCGTCCCAGGACGCCGGACACCGCCGCTGCCGCCATCATGGAAGTGGGCAAGCACGCCGACGGCGGCGGCAACACGCCCGGCAGCGTCAGGATGTGGGCGGGGCTGCTTCCGCCCTCTGGTAGGTGTGCGGTCTCTCGCGAGAGGCGGCAGTGGAGAAACTGGCGGCGGCTGTGGCTTGTGTGTAGGTGGACCAGGTGGCAGGTGAGCACACTCCGGCCTGCTGGACCCCGACCTGGCCCAACGGCCTTCCTCGGGTCCATTCGCGGCCTCTGGTTGCGGCTCTTCGGAGGGACCGGAGCACGTCGGCGGGGGCGCAGGGGAAGCCGGTGTGAGGGGCCGAGGCGTCCGGGCCCTCTTTGCGGCGGCTCCTGACGCCCGGGCTGTCCTCTCTTCCCGGGCCGCCGCCTCCCGCGCGCTTAGTACACAGCCCGAGTTGGCGTCGGGGACGGCGGGGGCCGAGACCCGCTTCATCCGCAGCCGCCTGTGACCTTGACTCTCGGTTCCCCCAGCGTCCATCTCCTGGCAGCAAAGCTGTCGAGAACCTGAGCCACAGGTTGTCTGTCGGAGCTACCCTTGACTGAACCCTCAGCTTTATTCCCTGGTGGGTCGAAAGATCTAGAATGCGTGTTTATCCGGTGAGCCACCCAGGCATCGGTTCTGCAGAGCTGGTTTGGGTCTGGGGGTGGGTCGGCGACCTGGCATTAACCAGCGGTTTGCAAGTTTCGGAGAGGCTGGCCAGGTGACTTCTGAACTTAGGGGCCAGCTGCGCTTTCCAGGAAAGGTCTTGGTGATGTGTGATGTGAGAGACCTGAAGTCCAAGTGCCGAGTGCTCGCGGAGCCATCGGGAAGGCTTTGTGTTAGTAGGAAGAAGTGAATGACTTGGGATAATTACAGGAACATGTTTAACTCTGTAAAATTTGTGCCAGTTGTTAGACCCCCGTCTTTTTTTAATCTGTTAAAGTTGTGTCTGTCATCCCTATTCGCTAGTTTTTCAACACAGTGCCTTTTAGGGGGGCAAGCCTTTACTCACCGAGCCATCCCCCTATCACTGATTATGGTTTTTGAGACAAGGTCTCATTAAATAGCCAAGGCTTTCCTCAAACTCATGATTTATTTCTGCTTCAATCTCCCAAGAGGGCTGGTATTACAGGCAAGCTCCACCATTTCTGGCCAGCCAGTTAGGTGTTTAGTTTGTGGTGCTGGAGATTGAACCCAGGGCTTCACACCTGCTAAGTAAGCAGCTGCTACCTGTGAGCTATATGCACATCCCCAATCAGTTTTTGTTTTTCTGGGGCTGGACGTGGTGGTAGAGGCAGGTGGATCAATTCAAGTCCAACCAGGTCTACATAGCAAGTTCCAGGCAGCCAGAACTGCTTAGCGAGACTCTATTTCAAAAAATAAATCCTTTCTGATAACTAGCTGTTTTCTGAGGATTTTTTTTTTTTTTTTAATGAACTTAAAAATAATTCTGTCGGCAAGGTTTGGTGGTGCAGGCCTTTAATCCCAGCACTTAGGAGGCAGAGGCGGGTGGATCTCTGAGGGATTTGGCCAGTCTGGTCTACATAGCTATGGCTACTGTCTCAAACAAAACAAAATAACAAAAACCCACAAAGAATTCTATCCTTGGCCATCCTGAAACTTTTATTTGAGAGAGGGTCTCACTCTGTAGCCCTTGCTTGGCCTGGCAGAGATCTGCCTGTCTATGTGTCCCAAGTCTAGGATTAAGAGCAAGTACCTCCACACTCAACTTTTGGCCATCTTCATTTAGGGGGCCAGAGACCCAAAATTCCATGCTTAGGAGAGGTGCCTTAAGAATAAATAGACATAGGCCAGATGTGGCAGCATTTAGTCCCAGCACTCCAGAGGCAGAGGCAGGCACATCTCAGGTCTCCATAGCGAGTTCCAGACCCGCTGGGGCTACAGGGAGACTGTCTCAAAAAGACCAAAAATAAAAAAAAATAAAAATAAAAAAATAAACAAATAGACACATCCCCAGAAGTTATTCTCAGACATCTACTCTTACTGCCTGTTAGTAAGGTTTTTGAAGAGCCATGGGTACACGAGTCTTGTCAGAGGTGGCTGGTGAAGCATCTAACAAACAAGGTCAGTTATGTGACATTGACTTCTGCTTCATCTCTTTGTTTTCTGAATTGTGAAACAGCCTCTGAGTCATAGCTCCTAAGAATGCTGGCTTAGGTACTGCATATATTTTTCTTACGGTTCTTTTTTGTTGGTTTGTTGTTTAGACAGATTGGCTACAATAACACAAAACTCTGATTTGAAAAGTGTCACACTTTGGCTCTCAGAGATTTAAAAGAACATTGTCTCTCATTTAGGAAAAGGTGACTGGAAGTAAAAGGTCTTTTTTGTTTTGTTTTGGTATTTTGTGAGAGTGTTTAACTCTATTCATGAACTCCTCTTGCTATAAGGTTAGTTCTGGCATAGTGGCACTTACCTTTAGTCCCTGTGCAGTTTCAGTCTCCGAACGGCAAAGCTGGAGAGAACCTGAGCTACAGGTTGTCTGCCAGAGCTAACCTTGGCCAAACCCTCAGCTTTATTTCTGGCTGGCCGAGCTGAGCTGAATGATCTAGAATGCATGTTTATCCGATGAACCACCCAGGCATCCGTTCTGCAGAGCTGCCCTGGGTCTGGGGGTAGGTCGGTGACCTGGCATTAACCAGTGGTTTGCAAGTTTCGGAGAGGCTGGCCAGGTGACTTCTGAACTTAGGGGTCGGCTGCGCTTTCGGTATTCCAGGACAAGTCTTGGTGATGTGTGATGTGAGAGACCTGAAGTCCAAGTGCCAAGCACTCGCGGAGCCATCAGGAAGGCTTTGTGTTAGTAGGAAGAAGTGAATGACTTGGGATAATTACAGGAACATGTTTAACTCTGTAAAATTTGTGCCAGTTGTTAGACCCCATCTTTTTTTAATCTGTTAAAGTTGTGTCTGCCATCCCTATTTGCTAGTGTTTCAAAACAGTGCCTTTTAGGGGGGCAAGCCTTTACTCACCAAGCCATCCCCCTATCACTGACCCCAAAAAACTAGATAAATAAATGAATTTTTTAAAGTTACGTTTTATTTATTTATAAGGTGATCCCCCCCTTCCGACCCCCCCCTTTCTGTACGTATGTATGTACACACACACACACACACACACACACACACACACACACACAAACGTGGAGGTCAGGACAAACTGGGAGTCTGTTCTCTTTCTCCTTCTTGTGAGTTCATGATGATTGAACATCCTGCCAGCCCCCGAAGCAAATGCTTTTATAGAATGAAAAGTATAGTACGTTTGGCTTAAGTTCAGCCCTGAAAGGTGGCCATCTTTGCAGAGGTCAGAGGTGTTCATTGTGGACTAGGAGTCTCTGCTTGTACCTTCTACCACTGCCTTGTTAACATTTATGAGTTATTTAAAGCCAGAAACTTGGTGGCATTAATGTTTAAGGAAGGAGGACCTGAACAGAGTGATATCTCTTGACCTCTTTTTACAGTAAGCACCTAATATCAAGTGGAAGAGAAATTTGACCCATCCTGGGAAGTTTCCATAGTTAAAACAGGAACTTCACAGTCATGAGTTTGCATTCTAATCCTAGGTCTTTATCCACATAATAGTAGTGTGCCTTGTACCATGTTACTTGTCCTAGTTCCCTGCCTGTGCATTGGGAATAACCTTTAGAATAAGGCTCTTCTGAGTGTCAGCTAAAATAATAAATGTGTAATGTGCTTTGAATAGTCTGGCTAGTGTTAAATGTTGAGGACATAGTAGATACTGTTGATCACTGCAGAGTCAGTGGAATTGAATTTTCATAATTAAAGGGAAAATGTTTAATTTGCAAAATTTAAATGTTCTCAAAACCATTAAGCTGTGGTTAGATTATGTGCCAATTTATTGCCTTCCTTGCTGACTCACTTCTGTCTGATGAATGCCCTGTTTTTTCAAAATTCTGCTCAGGCTGAGTTATCTCAAAGACAAAAGAATGCAACCTTTTTCCTTGACTGTAGTCCCCTTTCTTGACTCTGCCATATTTATTGTATTAGGGAATGTTGGGATTCCTTGAGATGGAGGGTTAATTTAATCAGACTAGCATCTATACCAAGGTTTGTAATGTCATCATTCCTTGGTGGGAGGTTGATGGAAGTAGGTTGTGATTCTAGTCATACTTAATGATAACCCATGGATTAAATTACACTCTTGTGGGGCTGGAGAGATGGCTCAATGGTTAAGAACACTGGTTGTTCTTGCAGAACAACCCAGCATCCACATAGCAGCTAACAACTGTAACTCCAGTTCTAGGGGATCCAACAGCCTCTTCTGCGGGCATAGTACGACACAGGTGCACTTACTACATGCAGGCAATATACACATACACATAAAATAAAAATAAATACAAATTTTTTTAAAAGTTAAAAAAAAAATTGTACTCTTGTCTTGGTCTTGTTTTGCCAGTAGCTTTTAGGTCCCTCAGCACTGGAGGCATGGCAGAGTTTGGGATCTCTACTGGCCAGCTTGTGGCAGTGGTCTGGGATAAGTCATCTCCCAAGGAAGCCCTGAAAGAACTGGTGGATGTACTTCAAGGGTTAACTGGCAGCGAGGGCCAAGTATTCACAGAAAACATCAACCAGCTGTTGCAGTGTAAGTACCTACCCATGTCTTGTCACAGGGCTAGAGGGATTTTGATGGGAGTCCTGCTTGTCTGTAGTTCCTTGATTTCTGAGTTTGGTTTTGGGTTACCCCATTGTTTTTCAGTTGAGATGTAATGGGCTTGGGAGTATGGTTGATGATTTGTATGTTCTTGTTCTTCAGAGGGTTCTTTCCTGATCTTATGAAGGATGATGAATTAGTAAGACAGCAGAACACAGCCTTAACACCTTTTTGCTAGTAATGGTGATTTAAAAGTATTTGCTATGTAAGGGTTCATTCTCCTGGGGTGATACTTTGTAGCCACTTTGGGGGAGTTGGGGGGATTGATTGCTCCTGGTCTGAGGTGGTTATTGATTAGATCCTTCTTTTCAGCTGCCCATAAAGAATCCAGCTTTGATGTTATTTTGTCTGGTGTAGTCCCAGGAAGCTCCACTCTGCACAGTGCTGAGATTCTGGCTGAGATGGCCAGAATTCTTCGGCCAGGGGGATGTCTTTTTCTGAAAGAACCAGTGGAGACAGCTGTGGGTAAGGATATATCTTCACTCAGAAGATGGAAATTAGATGCAGTTGAGTGTTTGTGAGTGCTTGTTGTGTCTCCTTGAGCCAAAGAAACCATTTGGAAAATCAATATATTCCTATAGTAGTAACTTCTCTATAGGGAGAAATTATTACAGTTTGAGACAACAGATCTGAAAAAAAAAATTGTCATCTTTGATTGACCCACTAGGTCATAAGTAGACGGAAACTGCCACTTAAAAATGGCTATAACATGGAAAACCAGGCAACAATAAAAAGGAGCAAACTTAGCAACTTTTGTGACTGTGCAGTTATTTCATAATAAAGAGTTTAAAAATAATAGCTTGAACTCTGAGAGTAAAGAATTGTTAGTGTCGTGAAACTGCCTTTGATCTCCAAGAATTAAATCCTTTTTTCTCAGTGTTACAGCTATCAGGTATTCAGTTCTAGATTTTTATCTTTTTTTTTTTTTTTACTAAATTCAATCAAAATGTGGCAAAAAATTCCATCAAATAAAGTAAAATAATAGAAATGAAAGTTCGAAATGAGTAAAGGCATGTGCTTGTATGTAGAGCTGTAACCGTGTGATATCTGTAGTAGATAAATAACAGCTTTTTTGCTGGAAAGAAACCTTGGGCCACCAAATAGTATTTCCAACACTACTTGCAGAGAAAAATCTTAGGTTTCTGTGCACTTTGCTTGCATGTTTATAACTTCATTCATTATCATCCAGCATTCCTTGGAAGGGGTTTCCAAGAAGTAGAAATGATAAAATCATGACCTGCGCTAGATAGGTAAAAGCACTTTGAACAGCCAAAAGATTTTTCAAATTAAAATGTTATCACTAAACTATATGCATATTAAACAAATTAGGCTTTTACTATTTGAATGCCTGTTGACCTGTGCAGGATAGAGCCTTTATTGTTTTTCACACTGACCTTTGAAGTTATTAATTGAGGTTTTCCTTGACAGTTAACAATAACAAAGTAAAGACAGCATCCAAGCTGTGTTCGGCACTGACTCTTTCTGGCCTTGTGGAAGTAAAAGAGGTATGTGTGGGGGCTGGAGAGATGGTTCAGTGGTTAAGAACACTGGTGGTTCTTTCAGAAGACTCAGGTTCGAATCCCAGCACCCACATGGCAGCTAACAACTGTCCGTAACTCCAGTCCCAGGGGATCCGACAGCCTCTTCTGGCCTCCGCGGGCATTGCATGACATGGGTATACTTACCTACATGCAGGCAATGCACACATACACATAAAATAAAAATAATTAATAAAATTTTAAAAAAAGAGGTATGTGTATAGATAGCCTTCCTTGGTGGGAGTGGAAACCTTCTATGACACAAACCCAGGGTATGCTTTTTGGGGGAAAGTGAGGTGATCAGTGCTGCGTAGAACTAGGAAGTAAGTTAAGCCTTGGCATGTGTGAGGTGTGTGATGCCTCAAAGAAGGAAACCCTTGGGAGCAGATCCTTTTTGAAGATCAAGTCATAGCTGGGCCTATTCTGGGTGGCATGTTCTGGTCTCTCTAGTTCTGTTTAGTGGTGATGTCTATGGCAGGGACAATGAATGACCTGCTGCTTCTATTCATCTCAGTAGATACAACTCTTGGCCTAGATGCAGTGTCGTTCTCTAGACCAGACTCCCACTTGTGGTTGGACATTTATGATAATTCATAGTTAATTGAAACAGTCAAGCCAAACAAAATAAAGGTGTTTATATTTCCATATTCCTCTCTAGGAGTTAAAATTTTAAATATTAAAAATTTCTTAGTATGGGAGCTGGAGAGCAGTTAAGAGCACTTGCTCTTTCAAGGGACCCACATGGCAGCTTATAACTGTCCATAACTTCCGTTTCAAGGGATTTGACACCCTCTTCTGTCCTTGGTATGGGAGGAATGTTATTCTGTCATAGCTATTAGATCTTTGATCTCTCTCTCTCTTTTTTTTTTTTTTTTTTGGTCTTTTTTTGGAGAGGGTCTCTTTGTAGCCTCAGCTGTCCTGGAACTCACTATGTAGACCAAGCTGGCCTTGAACTCACAAAGATCCACCTGCCTCTGCCTCCCAAGTGCTGGGATCAAAAGGGTGCGCCACCATGCCTGGCAGATCTTTGATCTCTTATCTAAGATGATAAATTTTATTTATTTATTTATTTTTGGTCTTTTTGAGGCAGGGTCTCCCTGTAGCCCCAGCTATCCTGGAACTCACTATGTGGACCAGGCTGGCCTTGAACTCAGATTAAAGGCGTGTACCACCACACCCTGCTGATAAATTATTTTTTTTAAGATAGGAGTCTCACTATGCAGCCCAGGTTGGCCTTGAACTCATGATCTTCCTGCCTGTCCTGGGTTTATATGTGAGTGCCTTACTCCCAAGCTTAAGGCCTTTATTCCTATTAAGATTTTTCTATGTGGTCTAGAAAGGTAGTTCATTTGATAAGAGTGCCTGCTAAGCACAAAGCCCTGGGTTCAATACTCAGCACTGGGTGAAAATGGGGTTGGGTAATGCACACCTGTAATTTCAGCACTTGGGAGGTAAGGCAAGAGGATCTGAAGTTCAAACTCTTGCTTAGCAACATAATGAGAGTGAAGCCAGCCTGGGCTATAAGAAGCCATGTCTCAAACCCTAAAGAAAGATTTTAATCTGTGCCTAATTCTAAAGTAATAATTGCTCAAAAAACTTGAATTTATGCTGAAGAATATAGAATAGAAAGTATTGACATCCTAGTCCTTACTCATACTTTGCTTCCCAGAGGGCTGTGTGCATTTTTAGACATTTGCTCCAAGTTTTTCCTATGCATTGCCAGCAATGTATTCATTAACTCTTTTAATGTAGATACGATTATATGTCTACATTGTTCACTCACTTTTTTCCCATGTCCAGTAATTGTAAAGTTGTGTGTATATCTGTGTCTTTGTATAGGCTTATATGTGCATATGAGGTCGGAGGGCAACCTATAGGAGACATTTCCTCCTTCCACCATGTAGGTCCTAGGTATCGAACTGAGGTGATCAGACTTTGTGGCAAGTGCCTTTATTATCCACTGAGCCATCCTTCCAGTCCTTAGATTCAACTTCATCTTCCCTTTTTTTGGTCTTTTTGAGACAGAATTTCCCTGTAGCCCCCACTGGCCTGGAACTTGCTGTGGAGACCAGTCTGGCTTTCCTAGTGATCCACCTGCCTGTGCTTCCCCAGTGCTGGGATTAAAGGCGTTTGCTACCATGCCTGGCTTCCAACCCTTAGATATCTTAAGACTTAGTACAGCTTAATATATTTTCATTTTTATTAATGATGTAGTGAGTGGTATATCATACTATGGTAGATAAACTATTGAACATAAAAATTGTTGCACTTGTCCTTTTTTTAAACCTTAAATACCTGCTGAGGACCAAGCATGGTAGTGCATGCCTGTAATCCCAACATTCAGAAGGCATTGGGTAGGAGGATCACTGTAAGTTTGAGGCTAGCCTGGTCCACATAGCCAGACCCTATTTAAGAAAAATCATCTACTTCCTAAGGATCCTAGAAAGGGTTCCCTTTCATAAGTACTTTAAAGCTTCCTAGAAGGTGGCTTAAAGTAGCATGCTGACAGAATCGTCTCTAGGGTTCTGGTCTGTGAGAAACTGAGTCAGGAAAGCGATGTCTGTTATCTTCTGTCACTACATGCTTATTCTGCAGAGGTGCTCTGAAGGCATAGTGAAACAGTAGTTGGAGGGAGTGTGGACTAATACCTGAATTTGTTCAATTGCAGTTGCAGCGGGAGTCCTTAAGTCCCGAGGAGGTACAGTCTGTCCAGGAACACCTGGACTACCACAGTGACAGCCTGCTCTCGGTTCAGATCACTGGCAAAAAGCCAAACTTTGAAGTGGGTTCATCTAGCCAGCTTAAACTTTCTGTCAGCAAGAAGTCTACTTCTGGTAAGACTGGCCTAAAGACATTCTTCTAAGTGGGAAGGCCTGGGGGCATGTTAGAAATTGAACCAGTTGATCTAAATGAGGATTAGTCTTTTAATTCTGCCATTTGCAAATAGCAGAATGCTTACTGTGCTTTTTTCCTGGGCATATTAATATAATATGAAGTAATGCATAGGTATTTTCTAGTGCAGCACCTTCTGCTCTGGGAAGCATCAAGGCCACCTCATCCTGAATACCTGAGTCATGTATTCAGGTGGTGAAGTCTCTCCAGGCCCCAGAATGATGGGTTTAGCCTCAGGAAATCCACAGTGGTTGTAATGGTAGATAAAGATCCTCTGTTCAGTTCCCACAGCTTTTTTTTCTACCCCTGTAAACTGAGCTTTTTCTTGCCCTCACGGCCCTACAGTACTTAACAAAATTCTTATTTTTGAAGATTGATTACTAGTTTAATTTTTTAATAGTTTATTATTTTTATTTTATGTGTATACCTGCATTGTCTGCATGTAGGTAGTGCACCCGTGTCGTGCAATGCCCACAGAGGACAGAAGAGGCTCTCAGATCCCCTGGAACTGGAGTTACTGACAGTTGTTAGCTGCCATGTGAGTGTTGGGATTTGAACCGGGTCTTCTGCAAGAACACTCAGTGTTCTTAACTGCTGAGCCATCTCTCTAGCCCTGCTAGTTTAATTTTTATATATTTTTATGTAATTGTTGTGTAATTTATAATATATCTAACAGCCAGTTTTTGTTGTCATTTTTGTGTTTTGGAGGGTTGGTAGCCCCAGCTGGCCTGGAACTCTATGTAGACCAGACTGGTCTCTATCTTACAAAGATCTGCTTGCCTCCGTCTTCATGGGTACTGGGATTAGAGTCCTGCATTACCACGCCTGGCTCTATAACAGCCAGTTTTAACATGATTTTTTAAAGCTACCATTTTCAGTTATACAGAATAATGGGTTTAATTATTATGACATTTTCCTACACATCATTGTGCCTTGCTCCTATTTGTCCCTTCACTATCCTCCCCTGCCAATGATATTTTCACATGTTATTTTGAGACAGGGTCTTCCTATAGCCCCAGCTGGCCTGGAATGCACTATGTAGACCAGGCTGACCTTGAACTCACAGAGATCCGCCTGCCTCTGCCTCCCAGTGCTGGGATTAAAGATGTGCGCTGCCTCACCCGGCCTCTTGTAGCTTGCAGATTATAACCTGTCATTGAGGGAAGCCAGTACAGTAGCCCAAGACAGGAATCTGGATTCAGGAACCGAAGCAGAAACCATGGAGGAAAACTGCTTACTGGCTTGCTTCTCTTGCCTTGCTCAGCTACTTGTGTTACACAGCCCAAGCCCACCTGCCCCTATAGGGATGGCATATTCCAGGGATGGGCCCTCCTTATCACTTAACAATCAAGAAAATGCCCCACAGTTAATGCCTACAGGCTAATGTGATGGAGGAAATTCCTCAGTTGAGACTCCTTCTTAAAGTGACTTTAGTTTGTATCAAGTTAACAACAACAAAAATTAACCAGCACAATGACAAACACCTTACAGGTTTTTAGCAGGGTTAGGAGGTATAATGGACTGGTAGATCTGATGGAATGCCTGCCACAAAGCAGATAATGAATGCAGACTAATGTTACTGTCGTGAAGACTCTGCTTTCTGTTAGTAAAGAGGCTGAGTGCCGAGCCTGCTTTCTGGTTTATCTAGTCATTCTATTCTATCCATAAGTGCTGATGTGTGCTTGCAGTTTACTTGAGTTCCTTTTATCATTGGCCTTAGCGAAACGTGCTGTGGACCCTGCAGCTGCCAAGCTCTGGACCCTCTCAGCCAATGACATGGAGGATGAGAGCATGGTGAGTTGGCACTGTGGTCACTTGAATGCTCCCTCCCAGACCCTGCATTAGATGTGAGCAGTTTTTTGATCTGTGGGTGTGGATATGTTTTAAAGCCCAGCATTGTGACTGTGCCTGACACTGCACTGATGTCTTTGATTAGGACACTCCATATTAATGGTATTTTACTGTCCACCCCCCTACTGCTATGTAGGTCAGGCTGACCTTGATCTCACAGAGATTCTCCTGCCTGTGCCTCTGCCTCTAGAGTGGTGCTGGGATTAAAGACATGTGCCACCATGTCTAGGTTTTTTTTTTGTTTTTTTTTGTCTTTTTAGGCAGGGTCTCCCTGTAGCCCCAGCTCACCTGGAACTCACTATATAGACCAGGCTGGCCTTGAACTCACAGAGATGCGCCTGCCTCTGCCTCCCATGTGGTGGGAGTAAAGGCGTGCGTGCACTACCATGCCTGGCTTTGTTTTTTTAAAGCATCTTCACCCATTCCCCCCACAACACACCAGATTTTCCTCTTTTCCCTTCATGTGATGTAGTAAAGATTCTAAGACTTTTTGGACATGTATAAACCAGAATAGAATTTCAGCCAAGATGTTTCATTGACCCCTTTGTCTGGGCCAGTCATTGAGTGCTCACTTTTTTTTTTTTTTCTCTGTCTTTTTGAAGCAGGGTCTCCCCGTAGCCCCAGCTGTACTGGAACTCACTATGTAGACCAGGCTGGCCTTAAACTCACAGAGATCTGCCTTCCTCTGCCTCCCAAGTGCTGGGACTACAGGCATGCTTACTATCTTAAAAGCAGTGTTTTGCATCTTTGATCGACCCTGTCTGATAAAGTTCTTTGTTTCTGCACCTTTACTGTTGAGGTTAATGTGATAAGCAAAATAGATCATGGCTTGTGCTCTCAGAGAGCTAATCAACTTAACTGTCTACACGTTTACAGAGTTACACAAATATAAGTGTAATTTGGTTTTTTTCCTCTGGAATTGTGTGGAAAATGTTTTACTACCTTTGACTTCTTTTTATTACCATGACTCTTCATATAGTAAAATAAATAGAACATGTCTCTTTTTGTTCTGCCTGCTCCCATCCTTCCCATAAACACATAAATAGATTCTCTCCCAGTACCAGTCAGCCTTGCAGCTATTTCTGGCCTTTGTGCAAGCTCCCATGGACCTTTGGTCTCTTGAGCCTGTGGACATAGTTCAGAATGGTGCTGCCTGCTGTTAATCTGCACTGTGTGCTTGTTTTCATAGCCTGTGATCACCTCAACTTTTCATCAGAGGGACCATGGTTTTGTTACTCATTGTTTTGATTGCTCTGCAGGATCTCATTGACTCAGATGAGCTGCTAGATCCAGAAGATTTGAAGAAGCCTGATCCTGCTTCCCTACGGGCTCCTTCATGTGGGGAAGGGAAAAAGAGGAAGGCCTGTAAGAACTGGTAAGTGCTGGGTGAGCAGGTCTGCTAGGCCACTTTCCTAGCGTCTCACGTCAAATCATTGCAGTACTTCATTCTCTTGAAAACAGGTTTTACTGTGAAGTGTTTAGAGGAGTAAATTAGATAGATATACATATTTGAGGAATAGTAGACATCCACATATCAGTCATCCAGATTAAGAAATGGAAGCATCATAGTTTCTTGGGCATCTCCTATACCTGTTTCCTCCCCCGCATCTTGTTCCCTCCCCCAAGAAGTTATTGTTCTCCTAAATTTCTGTTAATTATGCCTAGGTTTTTTGCTAGTTGCCCACTTATTATTTTTGTCTTTTTGAGACAGGGTCTCCCTGTAGCCCCAGCTGGCCTGGAACTCACTGTGTAGACCAGGCTGGCCTGGAGCTCACAGAGGTCTGCCTGCCTCTGCTGTGACTAAAGGCATGCACCACCACGCCTGGCCTTTATTGCCCACTTATATGTGACTCTCCAAACAGAAAGTTATACCATGGACAAGGACTGAGCAATAAGCCCAAACGTAGCCTTGTTAGGAAAGTCCAGTAGTCACATGCTATATGAAGTCTCCTAGCGAAGCTGAGTAAGGCTCTTGGATCTTTTTGAGAATATACAGGAGCCCCTTCCAGGGAACTTAGTAGGAAGAGTTGTCCATGACTTGGGGGACAAAGAAGAGCACACTGTAAGTAGGACATGAGGCAGATTGTAGAGAAGTGTGGTTGTAACTGTGGTCAGAGGGATGGGCTCCTCTCCTCAACTGACTTGGGCTGTGTGTGTGTGTGTGTGTGTGTGTGTGTGTGTGTGTGTGTGTGTGTATGTATGTATGTATGTATGTATGTGTGGACGTGTACTGTATTTGAGGTGAATCTTTGCCTGGCTTGATGTAAGTGAATGGTGCTGTGTGCGTGTGTACATTGTATTTGAGGTGAATCCTTGCCTGGCTTGATATAAATGAATGGTGCTGTGTAGCTGGGAGCATGGTGATTAGCATAGTGGCGTCTCCCTTCATTATTGCTTAGGAGCAGGCATACTCTCTTTTATTTTATTTTATTTTATTTTATTTTATTTTATTTTTAGACAAGGTCTCTGTGTAGCCCCAGCTGGCTTGGAACTCACAGAGATCTACCTGCCTCTCCCTCCCAAGTATTTATTTTTTTTTATTTTATTTTTGGTCTTTTTGAAACAGGGTCTCCCTGTAGCCCCAGCTGTCCTGGAACTCACTATGGCCAGGTTGGCCTTGAACTCACAGAGATCCACCTGCCTTTGCCTCCCTGCTGGGACTAGAGGCGTGCACCACCACGCCCAGCTCCTGCTCACTCTCTGTTAGCCATTGTTTACTATATTCCATGTTGTTATCTTTCTTAATTTTCTTTTGTGTTCGGGTGTGGTGGAGCAAATTTTCTAGCAGTTGTTTTTTTTATTAAGGCTACTTGTGTTTTAGTTTTTTTTTCAAGAACTTTTTAATGTACAAAATACCTTTTTTCTGCTTTTGTAAATGATTGGCAATTGGGGTCTAGAAATCTAGGTCAGAAGTCATTTTCTTACATAGTTTTAGAGATGCAGGAATAGTTCTGCCATTTTCTTTCTTCTAATGACTTTGATGGTATAGCTAAAAGAAAAAGGCAATTTGAAAGAAACAGACTATAGAAGGAGAAAAAAATGTAATCAAAAGAAAAAGAAGCTTTTGTATTCATGACATACAACAGGATGTATCTTTAATCCTTCCCACTTAACCTCTTTTTTCTGGTTTGGAAATCCACGGAGCCCTCTTTTTCCCTGATAGCCTTTTCTAGTAGTCTGCCTTATTTTGTTCATGAATTCTTGTCATTTTTGTTTTCTGAGAGTAATCTGTGTCTTAGATGTTGGACCACTTTGGTCCTTTTTTTTTTCTCTTACATCTTCAGATTTTTCTTGTGCCCCTATCTGAGAGATTGTTAATGTTGGAAAAACCCTGGCGTTAGTTTATTCTTACTATCATATTTTTAGTTTTTAATTTATACTTCTTTTTTGCTATTGCTTTTTTTAAAAACAGAATTTTATGTGTATGGGTGTTTTGCCTGCATGTATGTAAGTACACCTTTGTGTGTGATACTCATGGAGGTCAGAAAAGGGTGTTGGATCTCCTGGAAGTAGAGTTACAGACAGTTGTCAGCTGCCATGTGGACACTGGGACCTGAACCCAGGGCCTCTGCAAGAGCAGTCAGTGCTGTTACCTGCTGACCCATCTCTCCACCCCCTCCCCCATTTAAAAAAGAAAAACCAGCATGGAATATCATTTTTGATTTCATGGCTGGGCTAACTTCTTTTTCTTTGGGGTACACTAATTTTGTTTCCTCCTTATATAGTCTGTTTCTTTCAAGTTGCCTTTTTTTTTTTGTTTGGCTTCTGACTCCTTTGTCTAAAGATTTCTTAAGATGCTTGGTGACTGTAGCCTTCATAATTAAAAGTGGAGGACAGAGTCAGGTTGTGGTGGTGCACACTCAGCATTCAGTACACTGAGGCAGGAGATTCAGTACACTGAGGCAGGAGGATGGCAAGTTCAAGGCTAGCTTGGGCTAAATGGCAGGACTGTCTCAAAAACAAACAAAACCAAGTAACAATTAAGGGGAAGAGCAATAGAAAGATACCTAACCTATTATCAACCTCTGGTCTCCATGTACACAGAAGACTAATATTGTAGCTCATTCCTGTTAACCACAGCCCTGCCTCTGCCTCCCAAGTGGTGGGATTAAAGGCATGTGCCACCACACCCAGCATTCAAAAATAGTTTTAAAATAAATAAAGACGCAGTGATCAAGTAGCTGAGCATCTATGTGAATTTATTTCTTGACTTCTATTGAAGGTACCCTGGGCAAGTGGGGTAGGAGTGGAGGTGGGATGAGGTAGAGGTCTCCAAATTCAAGAGGTCTGCGCCTTCCACTCAGATGGGTTAGGTTGCTCAGAGTAGGTCTTCCTCATGCTGCCAGCCCCGTAGTACCTTCGAGGTTTCAGGGCGTGACAAGAGTGATAGTTTATCTGTTAAGCTGATGTTCCTTAGTCTCTCTGCAGTTCTCAACACTTTTGCTGTTGTTTCTGTAGTCTGGCTGTGGGGACTTGACTGATGTTCTGGTGGGTTTTGAGGGAAAATGAAATTGCAGGTACTTGTTTCAGTATCTTGTAACCTGGCAGCCTTGTGCTGGTATTTGTACTAGTGCTGGGCAGGCTTATTTAATTACCTGCTGGTTGTTTTTATTTATTTTTGTTTGTTTCAGTGGTTTATTTTTGAGACAAGTTCTCATGATTTAGTTTAGACTGACTTTAGAACTTGTGATTCTTAGGTTGGGCGTGGTGGCGCATGCTTTCAGTCCCAGCTCTGGGAGGCAGAGGCAGGCAGATCTCTGAGTTCAAGGCCGGCCTGGTCTACATAGTGAGTTCCAGGACAGCTGGCGCTACAGGGAGACCCTGTCTCAAAAAAACAAAACAAAAAACCTTGCGATTCTTTCTCTACCTCCCCAATGTCTTGATTTCAGTCCTGCACCACCACATCTGAGCCTCATCAGTCTTTAGGTGTGTAATTTACCAGCACTTACAAATCAGAGAATTTCAAGTAAAATCCAGCTTTTCATTTCTTCTTCTATTCTTGTGTATATGGTGCTGGGGGTTGAGTCCAGGGTCTTGCACGTGCTAGGCATGTTTTCTTTTTTTTTTCCCCTTCTCAGACACATGCCTCTAATCAATCAGTGAGCAAGCCACTTTTGCCAAAGCAGTTTCTATCACTGAGCTGCACCTTGGCTCCTGTTTTGTGAATTTGGAAGATGTGGCAATGCTGGATCTGCTTCCTGCAGCAGGTCAGCTGACTAGTGGCTGTCCTCTGGCTGTCCCATGCCTTTCCATTCTGTTGTCTCCCCAACAGCCTCACCCCTTGTTTGCTGGCCCCGTAGCTTTAACTTGACACTTAAAAGAGAAAAATCTTAGAGCACATTTTAGCACTGTTAGAGGTTCAGAGTGTATGGTGGTAATAAGTCTTATCTACCACTGGTTTCCCCCAGCACCTGTGGCCTTGCAGAAGAACTGGAAAGAGAGAAGTCAAAGGTGCAGAGCACTCAGCCCAAGTCTGCCTGTGGAAATGTATGTATCTGCAGCGTTACCCACCACTCACCAACTCTGGTGGTCTTGGGACCCATCCTAAACTGAACACAGACTAGCTCTAGCTCCACTTAAGGAGTTGTCAAGTATTCTCAGAGTGGGCCCAGGTAAGAGGCCGTGCATGTAGCTTGAAATGGGAAGAGATTATCTTGAGAGTGGATCAGCATTCGCATACCCATGCTAAGAGGCAGCTCTTATTTCATATTTTTTTTAAATCTTTTTGTCTCTGCCTCAGAGTGAGACCTGATATTAATTCACCCATTTGGCTGAACTTGATATGGTCATGTAGTAGAGGCTGGCCTTGAACTTCCAGTCCTCTTACCTCCACTAAGTTGGAGTTTGCTATGTAGCTCAGGCAGGTCATGAACTTGTAACCCTCTTGCCTTAGCCTCCTGAGTCCAGCAGTTGCCCGTGTATACCATCTGACCTTGATGAAACTTTTCTTGACTATCATTTCATAAAATCAGATATCTGGGCACATTAGGATGTCATGACCCCATCCCCCCCACCTGCCTTTCTTTTGGCCCTTAGTCTCCCTGTGTGACTCCTGTTCTCTCCCCACAGTGCTACCTGGGTGATGCTTTCCGATGTGCCAACTGTCCCTACCTTGGGATGCCAGCCTTCAAGCCTGGGGAGCAAGTACTCCTGAGCAAGAACAGTCTACAGGATGCTTAGGAGGAACCTTGGCACATACCACCTCCTCTAGCCAACTCCTGTCCCTCAGCTTCCACCAATGGCTCCTCCTCCCATTTCTGGATTCTTTGAAGCCATTTTTGGGGAGGGGTTTGTCTCAGTGAAGGTGCTGTGGGTGCAGAGGTGTGTAGTGCTGCTGTATATTAAAAGACCAATGTATGAAGGGACCTGCTTCATCTAGTGTTAGGAGGAGGAAGAGTGCCCCAAGAAGCCCCTCTCCTGATGTTACAGTGCTGACCTTTCACCCTTGAGCCTAGACATTCTTGAATATTTATGATGTGTGACAAGCTTCAGGCCCCATTGGTGTCTTAAGTTCAGTGATGCTGCCACCTACTGGACTTCCTCAGTATATAGTTCTTGGAGTCATGAAACAGCTGTCACAGGACCTCAGGGCACCAAAGAATCACTCCTCTGGTTGCTGTGATCCATCTTGGGTCCCTCTGCCCCTCTTATCTCACCCCATTTTACTGTAGTGTTGTATGTGTCCTGTTGTCATTTCTGTTAACCAACAGATATTAAACTTGTGTTTCTGTGTATATGTGTGAAGAGGGTGTGTATGTGTGTGTGTGGTGTGTGTGTGTGTGTAAGTGTAAGAGAGATCTGTCATGGAGTCATCCACATACAACTTGAACCATAAAGCAACTTTTTTTCTTTTGGCAGAGTCTTACTCTGTAGTCCTGGTTGGCTTGGAGCTCTCTAAGTAGACCAGGCTGACCTCAGAGATCTGTGTAGACCTGCCTTTGTCTCCTGAGTGCTGGGACTAAAAGTGTGTGCCACCATGCCCGGCTAAAGGTTCCATTAGAAGGAGCTCAGTGTCACATGGGAGTGGGGTCTGAGCTACCCTTATGGATTAGGACCTGTCTGTCTCCTAGGAGGACATGGGGAGAAGCAGTGTAGTTTGGACCAGCAGTAAGTCTCAGAGTAGGTCCCCTTCAGTCATCTCCCTGCTGCCTACCTACATACTACATCTTGCCAGGTATTTGGAGAGATGGTATGGATTTAAGAGACCTGAACTTCTGTATTTCAGCAATAAAAAGTGTTGATTGGTACTTGTCATTGAAACTTCCTTTGATTCCTCCTGCTTCCTTCTGTTTCTGCTGGTCCCTGCTGCTGGTGTTTAGGTGTGGGTGTCAGTGGGAAGCAGAGTTCCTAGTGGCCCCAATGATCCTAGCTTCCTCCCCTCCAGTTACAGCGAGACCTCTTAAAGACCTCTTGTCCTGGGTGAACAACCTCTGGTAAAGAGAAAGGATTTTACAGGTGTAATTAAAGTCCCTGCTGGACTTCAGGTTAATTAAATGGGAGGCTATCCTGAGTGAGCCTAGCTTACTCTTTTGATCCTTTGAAAGAACCGGAGAAAAAGGGCTTGTCTTGCTGCCCACCAGAAGTTAATTGCCAAGTTTCAAGAGGTCCATGTGCAGGATACAAAGTGCAAAGGATGCCCTCAGCACACAGACACCAAGAAAGTGGGGTCCACGGGGAGCTGGGTTCTGCCAGTGCCATGTTAGTATGGAAGAGGACTTGGAATTCCAGGCAAGAACACAGCCTGTGCCCAAGGTAACATTGCTGGGATGAGTGGATAGAGCATTTGCCCAAGACACACAAGGCCCTGTTTTTGATCCCCAGTACTGAAAAAAGAAATAGCTTTTCTCATGCCAAAGCAATGAAAGAAGTCAGGATAATGACTGAGTATATGCTTTGTTACACAGCAACAAGAAACTTACCCCCGAAAGGGTTTAGTGCTGACTTGTTTGCCTGGCTGCAGACCTGTTGATTGCTTCTGCTGCAGTTGCCAAGGTGAGGGACAAACATCTTGGCCTCTGGGCTGAGAAGGAGATCCTGGGCCAGAGCTTTCTTAGTGTGGGCTTAGTAAATGCCTCAATCCTTCCTTGCTCAGCTTATTGAGGCCCAGGTACTGCTGGCAAAAAGACTGTTAGTGGGGCCAGGGTGATACTTCTGAGTCCCTCCATAAGAACCAGAGGGAAGGCAGGCAGATCAGGTACCTAGGATGGTGAGGAAAGGCCTTGCCAGGGCATATCTAGGCCTCAGCCTGGCTGCAGCTGCATGGTGAGTAGTGGGGTTGTGGGGAGGGGGCACATAGCTATTTCCCCAACTGATTCTGTGGCAGTAGTCTAAGGTCAAGTTTTAGCCTTTTATGAGCTTTCTGTATTGAAGCCAAAAGCAGTGTCAGGTAAATTTCCATAAGTATAGCTAGGAGTCAGGGAACCTTTTCTTTTTGAGACAGGGTCTCACTAGGTACCCTGGCAGGTCTGGAATTCTTTGTTGACAAGCTGGCCCTGAAGTCACAGATACCCACCCGCTCTGTCTCCCTAATGAAGAGACTAAAGGCGTGTGCCACCATGTCTGGCTTGGCCTGGGAGTCTTGTTTTTTAAAAATACTTTATCACATTTATTTGTTTGTCGGGGGGCGGGTGGGGCATGCCTTCATACCATTGTATATATATA